ATTAAACTAATGACTTTTGAATTGTTTTTTTTTTTTAATAATAACTCTAAAGAACCACTTAATCTATCATAAAACAAGCAACCACCAAAATTTTAATATGTTATAAAACTATTCTGTGCGCCACTATACCTTTTTTTAAATACAGAATTTTAATTGTTGATTAAATACGTACAACCAAACGTGTACTTGATTAGTAATTATAATTTTCATTAATTGGAGATGTGTATTTTCCAACGAAAATCGTTTAATTCGTATGCTACAAAGTAAATTTTAGCGTTCAATGTGCAATCCACTGTTTTACAGTAAATAAACAAAGTAACTATAAACAGAATGCATTTTATGAATATATTTTAAAACCTTACTTAAGGGATTTATTTTAATAGTCCTTTAAAACAATTGAGGAGGTAGCTGCAACAAGGGCCTATAGTGCGTAACTAAGTTTTGAGATAATGAATATAGAAAGTTTTACCAATGTTTATGTTTTCATTTTAAAAAACACCATATTTGAAAACTTTTGTATAACAATCCTCAGTTTTTAATTAAAAACAAAATCATAACAATCTACTTCTTTCTTAAACATATGTTTTTACTTTTAAGAAAATAATAGAGTATGTTATAAGCCCTTCTTGGAGAGAACCGTTTTCTGGTGTTCTATGCAAAAAGGGCTTATGCGTTCACCCACTGTAGCCTACTGAAATGCAATAGAGTTACTTCATTCAATAAAGGAGTAAATGATAAAAATCGAGGAATATTAATGCTATTTTATTATACATTCAATAGTTAATAGCTAAAAATACAAATATTAGGCTAGAATGGTTAGCATACAATGGTTAAGAATGGTTAAGTTACAAAACTTCATCATGAGAAATATTAGGCCTAATGATATCTCATCACAAATTCAATCTTTTACAGATACAAATACAAACATTAGGCTGATACATTATAGCCTAACTTGTGTAGAAAAAAACTCCATTTATAAGCAGTCCTCATCAGCAATATCATCTGGATCGGATTCCGAGTCCTGGTCGTTATTCTCTGTAACCTCCTCCTCTGCAGCCTCATTATTCTCTGCAGCCTCATTGTTCTCTGCAGCCTCATTGTTCTCTGCAACCTGGTTGGTCTCTGGTCGTTGTTCATTTGCAAAGAAGTCTTCGTAGAATTGACGCTCTTCAGGTAGCAGATTGGGAAAAAGATCTCGCACATCTTTCATCTTTGCTGCTTTTAGGGGGATTCGCGAAGATTTTGCAATGGTCAGTTCACTAATAGCTCCTAACATGTATTTGAACGGTTCATAGATCATTTCATAAGATTTTGAAACTGCGAGTGTCCCGCAGGGTTTGTATTTGATTATTGAATATTTTTGAATTCCAAAAGTATTGCCCTTACTCTTAGGAACTTTCTCAAAGTATGGTGCTAGAGCAGACGTCCAATCGTACATGATGGACGTGTCATTCACCAACACGAATGGGGAAGGATTTTGCCTGCAGGTCAAAATCTTGTCTAGGTAAGGTTGTGGTACATGTATCTCTTCGGTCTTCTTAAGGCTTGACTTGAAAATGCCAAAATTTCTGTCGCACTGTCCAAAACTGTGCCCCCGTACAGGGAAGAGCTGGATGACTTCAACGCCTATTGCTTTAGCTAAATAGGAACAAAACTTCAACATAGTCGCGTTTTTATTTTGTCCACCTGTAGCATCTGATAACAACACAATTTTCTTTAGATTAGGAAAATCTTCTTGCCGTTTGGTAATAAAATCAAACAAGAAAGATGCAACGCTGTCAGGTCCTTTCTTAGATTGTGACTCGAGAAATGTGTACATAGCTGAATTGGAATCATTGTGACAGTGAATGTTGAACATGTACAACCACAAAAGTCTTTTATAAAACTGTTTTGTAACAGTCAATTTGGGAAGAGGTAAGTTCTGAGCGTAGTCAAACTCAAGCACTAGTACTTCTTCATTGTCTTTTGCGTTCGCAATAAAGTCAGCCTTTAACTTTGCAGCCTTATCAGCTTTCTTCTTGTGCAAAGTATATTTCATTTTGCAAGCATCATTAGGGTTCACAGTTAGTTTGATCTCACATTCTTTGCAAAAATCACAGGTGTCACTCTTTGGTTTTTTAAAAGTAAAGTTCGTCTCTCTAAAAAACTTAAAATAAGTCTTATACTTCATTTCCAGCGTGCTACCAGTTTTTCCCTTGAAGAAATCTTTGAAAGCTTCATAAATGTCCTTTATGGAGAGTTCTGAATTTGAAAAATACAGTCTGTTAGACTTGTCTCGACCATAATGACTTGGGCGGTGAGGAATACTTCTTAGATGTTCCATTGCGAGCTCCCATATAGTAGGTTCAAATTTTCTTTGATTCCCATGTTTTCCTCTTTTTTCGCAAAAGGAATCCCCTTCTCTAACTTTCTTTTGTATACACCTGATTCTTTTTACGGAAATTTTCAGTATACTCAAAAGGAACGCTCGGCATATTTCTACCTCACGTCCTGAGCTTTTGAGTTTGTAGGTCCAGGTGAAATTTCTTTCCTTGGTAACATTTACTGTGCTCCTTTTCCGATCTTGGTCATCTTTTATGGCCATGCAGCCAGCAACAAAGGTGTCTTGAGACTCTTTGGTATTACAAGAGTAGAATAGCTGAAAGGTGTCTTTTTGTTCAGAATGGTTAAAGTTCTTAAAACACTCATTACCACAACATTTTTTCACTAATGTAAATGATTTACCTGGTACTTCTTTCTTGGTGCTTATACTAACATATTTCTGTCCACTCAGTCTCTTCATTTTCACTATTGATCTTTTCCATTTGTCTTTATCCAAGGGTTTGTATTTCGCACCTTTTTTAACATTATTGTCTAGCACACTTCCACGGTCACTTACACTCATTTTAAAAGTAAACTAGATTTAAAACATACTAAAATCTCATAACTGTTAGTAAAATAAATCTAAAACAGCTAACTAGACCAAATGAGGTTATATTTACTGTGTCATAATACAGAACAGATTTTCTCTGCAAGAAGGGCCTATAACAGAGATTACTAAAACATCTGTTGTAGCACCAAAAACATAGATATTGAAGAAAAAAATCACAGACCTCTAGATTAAAGTATGGAGAAGCCGTTTTTATGTTCTCCCAAAGAAGGGCCTATGGGCCTATAAGCCCTTCTTGCAGCTACCTCCTCAATTATAGTACAAATAATTATATTGTGATTGGAAAAATTTGCGTAAAAAATAATCTGACTCTATTTTGCATCAAAGCATTAATATTGACTTTTCACTTTTACGCAAGTTATAAATAGTTTATTATATAGACATACGTATTGTTTGCTTTGTAATTATGTGCAGACACTTGACACGTGCTAAAACGGACAGAAATAACATGTTTCCAACACTAGTGCAACTTTGCTATGTTTATTCTTCGTGTTATTTCTGTACGTTTACATGTTACATTTTATCCGTTGCATAGGGTTTTAGTATATTCATGTTTTATGGTAGTATTTTGACATGTTGTACCTCGTTACGTTCTTTACTCGATGATTACAAAATGTTATGATTATGGCGTATTTTATTTTTAAGCGCATCACATTTTATAGTACTGTAAATTTGTAAGAAAAGATAAAAAAGTATTTTTAATTTTTGTATTTCTTTGTTAAGAGGTTGAATGGATGTTAAAACTATGTGTCGTGTATTAGAGGCGCATCCATGCCGCCGTCGGCTAAGATAATGGATGCGTATTTTTACTCCTAATGTTATTTTATTTAGAATCTTTTACCGTCCCCAAAAACTAGGCAAAAAGTGTCTTTTGCATAAAAAATTATGTTATTGATTATGTGTTGATGTATTATTTTATTCGTTGAATAAAAAACAACACTAGAGATAACTCACTCCTTAAACGCGTTTATCGTCTTATGTACATATTGTTTTTTCAGGTCATGATCTTGTGTGTGACCCAAAATATTTTTTTTTTTAACCATCAACAAATTTAGTTTTTTTTTTTTACTTATAAGAGTAAGTTTAATTATTTCAGTGTTTTTATGAGCATTTGCTGAGACCTAGGTGTTATATTTAGTTTAGTTAGTTGTTTTTTTCTCGTTTTTTTACCAATATGTGTTTGTTTTTTGACGTTTATTATTTCTCCTTTATTTTCTTATTTTTAAAATGTCTACACTTCCGTAGTTGTGATGATGCATTAATTATTAGTTCATCTATACGTTATATTGGTTCAGCGTACATTAATTATTTATCATCGTTTCGTTTTACTACGTAGATATATATTTTTAAGATACGTGAAGTTGAATAAGTTTTTATTGGTCCAAAAAGTTAGTAGATCTTATAAAAGGGACACCTAATTATTATTAACATTTTAATCTTTGTTATTTGTTTATCATAGACTTGTTTCATAAACATATTTCAAATCATGTGGACATTCGATTACTTTGAAGGATTGTTGGCTTCGACGTGGCTCTTATAATCAATGGTTATAAATATTACAGAATGCCTTGTAGCTACACAATATGGAAATAATAAATAATTTCGAACGCAACACAATCTTTTGTCATCTGTTCTGGAATATTTGCCAAATTAATGTTTATTTAGAACATTATTTGTGTTATAACTACTGTTAAGTATAGAGGTGATAAATCGTTACGAACGCAATCTTCTACCATGTTTGCTGCAATATTTTGCAATTAAACATTCTTACAGAATACAGAAGATATATTAAAATTGTTGTGTTCGAAAACTTTGACGGGCACAAAATGCAAAAGGAATAATCTTCTAGCACAGCACAATCATCTTATCCATTTCTTTAAAATGTTCATGATCAAATGCTATTTTTACAGGGTCAAAAGGTGTACATGTAATTTTTTTCTTAGATGATTTTGGACGTCAGATAATACTGAGATAAAACATATGCATAAGTCTACACGTTACTCATGAACAAATAGCATCATATTTCAGTATTTTTTTTTTGTAAAAATATATATAAAATATTCGTACTAACCTGTTACTGGCGTGTGTCGCGGCTTGGCGGGAAAGCGGTGAGCGTGAACCCATCTTCTGGCGGGGCGCGGGCACTGTGCACCTCGACGACTCGCCTACACTTTATAAACACAAGTCAACAAAGTAACCCCCACCCCCGTACGGCGCGCGCTCATGTTGGCGGGGGGCGGGGATACGGCCAGTTCGCGCGCGCCCTTCTGTCAGGGACGACGTGTATGTGTCCCATTCGTGGTGCTGTGCAGTGTTTTTTTTTCTGTGCTAATATTTGAAGTGATCTGTGAAGTGCGAAGATGTTTGTGACGAGTGAAAGGTGTTTTAGCTAAGGGTTTATGTGATCGTAAAACCAACTTGCTGTGTGGGAATGCATTTTTGTTTGGTTTAATTTTCGATGATTAATTACATAATTTAATTAATTATATGCATTCAAAAAAAGGAGGATTACATGGGTTGCTAAAAAAGGCAAATTTAGTGAATAACGACTTATTTTTTAAATAAGATGGAGAGAAAATAATTCAATGTACTTATTTATTTTATTCAATTAGGCTATTAGCTTAGTATTTTGATTTTATTTCTTAGGTGTGATATATTTCCTATACATGTATTTTATACTCCAGTGTGCTTAAAAATTAGTTAACGTTAATATTAAACTGAAATTGTTTTTTTGAAAATTACAAAAAAATCTACTCGCCCAAAATTAATTGATTTTCTTGTCAAAATGTTTGTCTTTAATTTACAAGCTAAACTCGTGAAATAATCGACGTGATGTTTGTTTTGTTTTCTACTTGTTTTACCTCATCAGTTATTGTTTCGCCAATTTTGTGAAAAATTAGCGCTTTACTTGCTTATTATTCAATTAGTAGAGTGATGCTGAGATGTTTTCGAAATCGTCGTTAAGTATTTTTAGTAGTGAAACTGATACAAGTACATTCTGGTCCGGGGTTTCAGTAATTATTTAAATATGTATGGCTTTTGTATAACGTACGGTCGACGCGTATGCATTTTATACAGAAATGTTCATACTAATTACTTCGATTTAAATTTGCAAGTTATATGTCTTACAACAAAGTCAGTATAAGCTGTGCAAATATCAAAGAATCAAATGACATGAACATACATCGGGAAATGTGGAATTTATTTAAGAATTTTCAACATATTTCGAAATAAGTAATAAATTAAAATAAAATAATTTACTGTCCATAAACATATATTATACAATGCTTCTTATTAATTCTTATTCAATATTATTATGTAGGAATGTTTTATTGCGTAGTACAGTATATCCGTGATAGGTACGCGATAGCAAACGCTAAATATTACATTCAGCTGAATGTAAAGAATTGCTCACGTATTATGGACCGTTTTCTTTTCCACTGTTCACCCAACAAAGAACGACAGTAGGTCAGGCTGGGTCCCTTGAATGGACAAAAACGCCCTCGCCGCTTGTCTTGGGTTAGTCTTGCCCTTTTGCCCCATATGTAGCGTATCTCTCCGTGTGTGGGAGAGATAGAGGGAGAGAGAGTGAGAGAGGGAAAGACGTTTTTCAGTTTTGTCCCCCAGGGCCCTGTTAGCGAGGCTACCCTCCCGGGCTCTGAACTGAGTGAAGGCTCGGCCAGTCTTGCTAAGCTTGCATGAACATATTTTCCTCAGAGCTTTTCTGTTTAATCCAATAAACTTTTTTTAATTTTTATATTTTAGTTATAGAACAGATTTTATTGTTACCTATATCTCTTGAAATGGAGCACACAAATCACAATTTCATAAGATATTACCTCTTTAATTTATTGTTGGAAATACCTGATATAATTCACGTATATAAAGTATAATCTGATATTTACCTACTTGAATTTAAATCTCCTAACGATCACCAATGATATGTTCTATGCAAATGCAACTAGATTATTTACTTGTTTGCTACTAATTAATCATTTCACATTAGCCTAGTCAAAACTAAGGTGTATTGAACATAAATAAAACAATTGGTGGTCATTTAATTTAAATCATGTGATTATTTACTATAGAAAGATGTTCAGATATGAGAAATGTACGAGTTTCGACCGAATAATAGCAAGAGGCTGACTATTTGTTTATAAATAAATAGGTATTTATTTAGCGAGCGTTTTTTAGATACAATAGTTGTACTTTTCAAAACAACTCTTTTCAAAATAAACATGGCATACAAAATTAATACAACATGATATTATTAGAATATTATGCTACGCCTTTTAAATTTGTTATGTTGTTTTGTTGTACCTCTATAGTTTATGAATGTCTTTATTTATACTATCAAATCTTGTTTAGTAAATTCTTGGTTTGATGCATTAGGAATTTGGTTACGTGGTCATAAATGAAATTGAGACTTGGACTTTTTATCTTCTCGCGTCACCGCGCTAAGTAATGATTTTCGTACAGTATTCATTACTTAAGCATCTTCATAATCGTTTGTTACTAAATAAATCTTATGAAAATTCAATTAAAAAAATTACGTCACAAACCTTTATACTTGTTTAAATCAAATACACCGAAATACATAAACATCAAAAACCGAGACAAAGTAAACAAAACAGTCATAGTATTTTAAAAATATATTCATTTGAAATGTGATGTAAAAGATTAAAGCAAACCGTATTTACATTTTGTTTAATCTGACGCCGGCGCTGATGAGTTAAAAATGTTTTGTCAAAGAGAACTTTGCGTAAATGATGAAAAGCGTCAATGCGAGAGTGCAAATACTGTGTGATCGGCCAACGGGCGTATATGCTGGGAGTGGTGCGATTATACAGTAGTCTGTTGGAACAATGGGATAAACGCTCCTAGCTTAACTAGCCAGCATTGATTTTAAATACTTTATCGTGATATTTCGTTATTTCCAATAGTGTTGGACAGTGTAATATTTAAAATTTTCTTTCGCCACAAACATGTCTCTGGTTAGCGAGCCTCCCTGTAGTGTTAGAAGAGAGCTCTCTAATTCAATAGAAGAACTAAGAATGCAATGGAGATGGGTATCACAATTATAAAACTGTAACTGGAATAGAATGAATCCAAATGTAAGGTTACTACAAAATTTGTGTAGGTTTTGACGATTTCATTGTAAACATGATAATAAATATATTCTTGTCTTGTTCTTCTTACTATTTTTCCAAATTTACGGAAAATAATTAAAATATAAACCTAATTACACTTTAAAAGATTTGCAAAAACTGTTTTGTAACCCTACAACTGTGCGTTTTACAAATTGGCAAAATAATGTGTTTGTTATCATAATTAATTACAAAGAGTAGGCTTATATACAAATTTTATCAAATACTGTGCATAAAATTAATTGGCCCGTTACCATGATAAATTTGAATTTATCACATTTATTAAAATTAACTCAACTGATATAAACCTAATAAAATTTCACCCAACTATGTGATTTAAATACAATTGCTGAACTGTATGCTACAAATATTTAATTGATAAATCCCGATGTATAATTAATTTATTTATTGTGAATAAGTAGGTAACGTTACTATGATGTGCAATCTAGTACTAACATTACCAACAAAAATCTATACTTACTGTATCTACCCCCATATTTTACTGTTGTACTGATGCATAAATTTTTTACAACGATTTTCACCAATAAAAACCAAAATTTAATATTACAATGCACGCTTCCTTGGTATATCCTTGATTTTTGGAAATGTGGTAATAATATGCAGTTACATATTAAATTAAAGTGACGTTCCTTTTCAAATGTGTTAAATTATTAATTAAACTGCCAATCAAATACTGATTTAAACCAATTAGATGTTTCGTAAATACAAATTCTCCAATTATCAATAATTACCTGCCATCATCTGGGAAGTTTTAATCCCATTTTAGTTAAGTTTATATATCAATAATTTTGCAAATCAATAAATTGGTTCTGATTTTTGAAAATAATAATTGCCAAGGAAATTGATAAAAACACTATTTAAATTAAGCCCAAAGGAGTTTTTGTTATACATTGGTGGTTATATTGTGTCATGTTCAGTTATATTATTTAAAGTTATTATTTAGCAAACTGCGTTTAACCTACTACTTTTTGGTATGCTGTATTTTCAAATATTTCTAAATAATGAAAAGTTCTACCTCAACGGAACGTTGAATAAAATAAGCCACACCAATCCGTTTTAGATATTTCTAAATATACTTCGTGATTTGTCATTTAACACCGTATCGCCTAACTATTTATACGTTGCAATTAATAACCTTTAAATACATCACATTAATCAGCCAGTAAGTCACGAATGTGGGTCGTGCAATGCTATTGATCTAAACTATATCAAAGCTCTGTTAGAATCGCAACGTATGTTGATTAACATTGGCTCACGGCATGATGCGACCTTTTAACCTTTTAAATGCCCTGGCTGTTCGTTTGAATACACCTGGATGATGAGTGTGTTTTATGTGAATTTAATTGCTATGAAACTATGATGGACGATTTGAGCGTGGAGAACACTTCTGTATGGGATATGTGTAGCATCCTTTAACATGTTTCACTTTTATCAATGTCAATATTAGGATAGGTTTAAGTAAAACGTGTGGAATTAGTTTTGCGTTAGTTTATTTGTCGCGATATGACATCATCAAGTGTGGACAAAATTCATTTAAGCTCAATTTGTTCGTCGTAATTTTTATATTTTTTTTTTTTAAATGCAAACCCTACTGCTGCAAAATATTTTATGTAAGATCATAATCGTTTAAGTAGTTTCGTTAGAATCGTTATTGATACATAGTTCGAAAAAGTTTTTGACAGGAACATTGCCAAATGCTTACTTTTTTTAAAGTTTGCCAAAAATGATAGGGGCAAATTATTTATCGTAATATATTATTTATGTTAATTAAGTAAAATTTGTATTTAATAACATCGTAAGTTTTTGATATTTATATGTTTAGACTAAAAAGTAAATTAATATTTTGATAACACATGAATTGGACACAAATTACTGTAATCCAATGAGACAATGGAAAATTTATCAAACAAAACAAATTAAGTAAATGAATGTTATTATTTGTTCTCTTTATTCTGCAATATAACTTAATAAGCTTTCCTTCACAATTATGAATCGTAAAACAATGGTTATAATTCATTTGACAATGTGTGTTTTACTTAAACATGTACATTTTTACAATTGACTTTCGTTTGTAGATACGGTAAGGTTGTAGTTGTTTGGCCTGGTTAGTTTTAAGAGAGACAAATATCGTAGTGGTATGGAGGGGGGGGGAAGGTTAGTAATAGGGGTTTACGGTTACTACCCCTGGGACTTACCTGGCTGGAGGGTGGAA